CACACGGAGCCTCCTCACCACACGGAGCCTCCTCATACCAAGCCTCCCCATAATACGGAGCCTCCTCACCACACGGAGCCTCCTCATACCAAGCCTCCCCACAATACGGAGCCGCCTCACCACACGGAGCCTATCACGAAGATCACCAAGACAACCACCTATGTCACTACTACATGCCCGGGTAAGTTGAAGGATGTTATACTTAGGTGGCTCGTATCTAATGTTCTGTCTTAGTTACATCTACTGTTGTCACCTCTGGCAGCAAGACTATCACCGTCCCCATCACTCAGACGAGCAGCATTACGGTCACCACTACTTTCTGTGAGACCACGCCTGTGAAGCCTGTGCCGACCGGCACCAGTATCCCAACTACAGTTCTTCCACCTGCTCCAATTCACACTGCTCCCTTCCAGAACACCACCGTTCCGGTCCCGGTCCCCACTCAGCCAGTTCCTGTCGCTCCCAGCCAGCCTTCTGTTCCCGGAAAGCCTGTCTCCCCCACTCAACCCTCTGTCCCAGGTCAGCCTTCTGTGCCTGGTGAGACCCCTGTCCAGCCTACTGCTCCGGGTAAGACTCCAGTTCAACCTTCCGTTCCGGGAGAGACTCCTGTTCAGCCCACATCTCGGGTTCCCGAGCAGCCTACCTCTCCTAAACAGCCAACTGCTCCGGTCGAGACCCCTGTTCAGCCTACTACCCCGGTTCCTGTGACTCCCGTTCCTGAGACTCCGGTTCCTGAGACTCCGGTTCCTGAGACTCCCGTCCCTGAGACTCCGGTCCCCGAGCAGCCAACGGCTCCTACTAAGCCGACTCATGTCACCCCAGTTCAGCCCACTGAGTCGTCCTTCACTGGTGCTGCCCAGACCGTCAAGCCCGCTGCCGGTCTCTTGGCTGCTGTTATGGGTATGATGATTCTGCTGTAAACCAATCCTTTTGAGGATAGTTTATCGCAACAGCGGCCATCTACGGTGCTAGAAGAGCAACGGACGGATGAGTTATAGTGTGCAATGCTTGATTGTTTGATTTGATTTTCGTCTGACATGCGAACTCCATCTCTACTGTTTACAAATGGAAGGGTCAAAAGTCTTTTATCTGTCAGATAGTACCGTACTAGTAATTTATAATAATATTCTGCCTTTGGCTTTGGTGCATCCGGGAGAAAAAGCAAAAGAAAAGTCAAAAAAGAAACGGAAAAGTTTGTGCTTTTTGTGAATAGTCTTGTTGTTTCATTAGATACTAATGATGCCATGTTTTCCCCATCTTTTGAAGATCCTCTGCTTGGTGTCTATTACTGTCAAGAGTATACTTACACTATACATTCACCGAACAACTGCATCCCATTCGTATCTTTCCATCAAGTCTATTTATAACAATATACTCCCAATATACATTCAAAGTTAAGTCATGATGATTAATTAGCAACATGCATTACTGCTGCTCGTTGACCAGGATGTAACGGTAACGCGCCTTGCCCTCATGCATATCCCCAATACCCTTATTGGCATCCTTCATGGGGATCTCCTCAATCCAAGGCTTACCCCTTCTCAGCAACGAGATCGAGCATCTCCCGAATCTCGTTAGGAGACCCGATGAAAGAGCTATCAACCTTGACGCGAGGGATAAGGTTCCGTACGTTCGCGAAAAGGCTACCATCCTCAGGGAGACGGGCCTGCACCAAGCTACCATTAGTAGCATGGAGACCTAAGTACTCCGTCATAGGCATCTGACAACACGTTAGCCTCTAAACCTCTATACCTCGTGAACAGAGTAGAGCGTACCTTCGATGAAGAAACCGTGCACACGATCAGATCCAAAGAACGAGCATATTTAGTCGCCCAATCCGGCTCATCTTCAGTAGCAATGTACGTATCAGCGCCCATCTGAAGCGAATCGGCACTCTTGCTCGCTTTGCGCGAGATAGCGACGACCTTGTCCGCACCCAGAGCCTTAGTGAACAGAACACCGAAGTGACCTAGTCCGCCGACACCGATGATGCCAACGCGCTTGCCGGGCCCGCAGCCGTTATGCTTCAACGGGCTGTAGACGGTAACTCCGCCGCACAGCATGGGCGCTGCGTCTGCGGAAGGTATGGCGTCCGGGATCTTGATCACGAAGTTGGACGGCGTCCGGTTGTACAGAGAGTATCCGCCGTAGGATTTACCGCCATGCAGGTGGATGCCGTTGTAGGTGCCGACGACCTTGTGCGAGCAGAGCAGTACTGCTCCCAGCCCATGGCGCATTCCGGGCAATCGCCTAGGCGGCCGAGACATCAGTCGCTCTGGGCGCCAACTCCGAAGCGGTTTCCGACTTTGATATCGCCAACGGCTTTGGAGCCGACGCGGACGGCGATACGGATGATCTCGTGGCCGACACAGCAAGGGTACTTGGTAGGGCCCTGGGTTGGGGTTAGTCTTTTTCTTTTCTGCTTCCACCTGCCTGGTTCTTTTCGATATGAGATGGGACATACCCAGCCACTGCGGAGAGTGTGCAGGTCTGATCCGCAGATACCACAGTGTGTGACTTTGATGTCTATATCGGTCTCCTCCCATTCCTTGGGCTCAAACTCCTGCCAGACCATCTTTCCATCCGCCGTCTCGGGGGCCAGGCCTATCCATCCCGCAAACTTGTAGTCTGGTTGCGCCATGGTGCTTGGTATTCTAATTTAGGGGGTTTATGTTTAGAAGACCAGGATATCCGGAAAACGGTCTCATGGGCTCAAGGGCTCTACGGATCTACTCCGTGCATTTACGGATATAGCGGGTCTTAAGACCAAGGTCTCTACTCCTGATAAGTTCGTATTGACAGTGAAACCGAGAGCGAGATTCAATTCATACTTCGGAAAAGGGAATCATCTGGACTTTGAGATCAGCCAATATATACCTGGAATTTCTTTTGACTGCGGGCAGATAATTTTCGGCGAGAGAATTTCGATAACCACATTCTGCACGATCGGCACTAATTTGCGCATCTTCCACAATGCTTATCAGATCTCAATCGACACTCTGAAATATCTTGTAATATTGAATCAGCACGTCAGTTCCCCTTAATACCACATTGAGAAAACAACAAGAGGAAAAAAGAGCCAATTACCTAAATATAGTCAAGCAATGGAGAGCCTCCACCGACTCCAATCCCAACGGCTCCACTGCGAAAGCAAAACACGGCACAGAATGAGGAACAAGGATTTAGAGAATGCGTATTAATCCCGGGTTGATGTTTCCATCTTCGGCATTCGGGATAAAAGGCTTTAAATATGGGAATCGTCGGCCGACTCGGGAACTGTTTGGGGAAGTTCCTTGGTTATCATATCATGATAACATACTTCAGATAAATTGTCTAGACTTTTGACCAGAGGGTTGATGAAAAAATAATAGATGTGGAGAATTTGAAGAAAAGGATGCTCAGGATATACAAGTAATCACATGTGATGAAGAAATGAGAAAAAGGTCACGGCGAAATGAGACAATGAAGGCCGTGAAAATCTATATTATTGGTAAGGATTAAGCCGTCGTTTGCAAGCACCTTCACGTTGACCACTCCGCGGCTATACAATTAGATTCCGCCCAGACAACGACGCTGCACCTAGAATAATGACAAAATGTCCTCGTTGGTTTTCTTGGGCTGACTTCCTCCTGGGGGTGGCGATGTGGTGTTGGAAAGATCCAAGCCAGCAAAACCGTTCATGAGATCGGCACTAGCACTGCCGCCATTGGAGGCTGGGGTTGGGCCTGTAGCGCCTCCGCCGTCTCCAAACACGCCCAGCAAGTCATCCAGATTGTTGCTTCCCGCCGGCGCCCCGGCTGCAGGAGACTCAACCCGAACAGGTGTGCCGGCAAGGCCTTCGAGGCCGGACATGCCACCGCTAGGTTCCTTCTGAGCGGATGCCGGGGCGGTTCCGTCGAAATCGATATCCAGCAGATTCTCAACGTTGCTTTGACTCTGGGGCGGGGGAGCCTTGCCACTAACTGCCGCCGCCGCCGCCGCCGCAGCCAACGGGTTCTCGCGCGCATTTTGGATTTGTTCCCTAAAGACGGATTGTTAGTCGAGCGGCCAAAAAAGAGGACCGGCAAGCAGGAAAAAACGTACTCAATGGCGGCCCTTTGGACGGCGTCGGCACCAAATCTGCCCTGGCCCACGAATTGCTCTGGGGGCTTGTGGTAGACAGAGGCCAGCGTAGAAAGTTCCGTAAGGAGTTGTTCGAGTAGTGCTGGAGGTAGGGAGTGGATGGTGGTTACGATTGGTGGCTTCTCCGAGAGAACAATACTCTTGGTAGCACCAGGGTCGCTTGTGTTCGAGAGTAACCGCCAGTACACGTAGGCTCGGTCACGGACGTCAGGGTTGTCATTCTCCGCCGTAGCAGCCTGGAGGACTTTCTGTACAAGTCCCTGGGCCTTCTCAGGCCGTTTTAAGAAGAGCTTAACAACAGCGGTGAGAATCTGTAGCTGCGTTTGCGAGAACTCTTCATTGAAGCCTTCCACGAATCCGCCTAGAATGTCTCCAGCGTTGTTGATCTTCTCGGCATACTCTCCCACAATCCAGATGAGCGCGGCTCGGGCGTTAGGCTCATCAAGCTCATCGATGCACTTGCAGAGGGTAGGAATAATGCCTTCGTAGCCAGGGTACTTCCGGAAAATGTCTTTGATCACCACGATAGCCTCTTGTACCACGTAGTTGACCTTCGTGTTGATCAAATCCAACAATGTGTTAACGCACTTCTCGCTGGCATTCTCAATCTTGATGGCCACCTGACCGATAGCCTTGACAGCGCGCCGCACAAAGTCCATATCAACCTCCAGGGCGTATTCTTTAAGTTCTGCCAAAAACTGATCGACATTACGATCGTTGGCGATCCGAACCATGATCTCCAACTTCTGGAATTTGACATACGGCGGATCGTTGTACTTGCAGAAGAACACACGAAGCTCTTTGGTTAGAATATCAGGCTGCTTTTGCAGCAACAAATCAATATTTCTCAAAGCCACGTACTGCACCTCAGGCGCAGAAGATACGAGAGTCACTAGATACCAAACATCAATATTAAATCGCCTTAAACAATAGACTCGAAGGGGTCAAATTACCCAACGGGGGAGCCATCTTTTTCAGATAGTTCTTGGAAAGTTCTGCGTTGACATTCCTCATGTGCAAGAAGACGACCTTGACGGCAGCCAACACTACACTGGGATTGGCATGCTGAAATTGAGGGGCCACGCGTTCGCAAATGTGCTCTGATTCGGTAACTTCAGCAGTCCGATACTCTGCCAGTGTGGTGAGGATCGTCACTCGACCCCACTCCGTACACTCATTTAATGCCATTAACAGTTTGCGCAATGTATTCGATGTTACCTGGAGCGCATTTGTTTCAGGCGCGGCGTGGTGAATCTCCGAGAGCGCGGTCACTGAGTTCGCAACCACCATGGGGTTGGGGTCCCCGATCATCTCTTGAAGCATTTCCAGGAAGCCGTTCTCTAAACACATTCCCGGATTAAGATCGAAAAGCTTGGCTACACAGATCGCAGCCGTCTTGCGGACGTATGGCGACTCATCTCTGAGAGTTTTCCGGAGGGGCTCCTCCATGTAATCAACCATCTTGTCCACTCGAATACATCCCATCGTACGGACTGCGAGCGCTCTGATGAGGGGATTGGGATCTTCGGAGTCTTGCACGAATGTATTCACAGCGAGAATGCAGAGGTCCGGGTGAGATTTGGCGTAATTCCTGGTTGTCGCGCATCAAATATCAGCATGCAAAGCGACAGTCGAAACGGTCATAGGCCACCCACATAAGATAAAGGTATACTAGTTTCTTTTGCTCCAGGTCGGTCGTTGCAATATTCTTCAGGACATCGGGGAAAAGTGCGGAGACATCTTTCCCTAAAGTCATGGCCATGATAGTTTTCTGGATAGCCTCCTTTCTGTAGCCATGTCAGACACCTTCATAGACTTTGCTATGGGTCCCAAATCATCGAATATCGAGAAACATACCGTTCGTAGGCATATTGAGATCTAGCAAGTTTGTCAGCGATACATTAAATAACGCGTCATCGCAGGATGCTCGGAGCTCATACACAAGACCAGCTCGCAATTCGAATGTTTCTCCTTTTCTAGGCACCGCAAAGGCGCCCCGTATCCTGCTCATAGCCATCTTTATCGGAGATAAGTTTCAATTACGATAAGTTGGAGCCTCCGCAGAGAAAGGACTTGGGAATGGTTATAAATGAGAGTCCTTGAGGACCGCTGCGGGGAATTTGGCGGCGAGAGGTTCAGGGATACCGTCGGGGTATGGTATTTCAAATCAACGGGGAATAGATCAGGGAGGAATTTAGAACGTCATCCCCAAAGGCCAAATTATGAGAAGGTCGAGAGGAAAAGGGGGGAATAGGCGCAGTTGAGGGAGAACGGAGAAGCTGAGGTGGAAGTGGATTAGATAAAGTCATCATGTGTCTGGACCCAAAAGTTGTCCACAAATCGCGGCTCTGTTCTTTTAGCATTTAACGCCCCCAGAGCTTAATTACCACGGCCAACTCTCTCCCTTGGCATAACCTCCAACAGGTCTCATGGTAAGGAGAATTCCTTGCGATTCCTATTCAATTCAATTTAATCCCATCTTATTAAGCGTTCCTACCAGGCAAACCTTCCAAATCTCCGACGCTTATTCGTCGAGGCGAGAACAGAGGTAGAGGAGAATGAATACTCTAGGACGGCTGTGAGCTATATACGACTTCACAAAATGGTCTTGACTACGAATGCTGACCTTGGGACATGTGGAGCACGCAGTTCTATAACCTCGTCCTCTTTATATCATCGGTCGCCGTCTTCAGCTTAGTCGCACAGCGGATGGGAGGAACCAAGACCGGGAAATGAATCATAACATTGAAAGCTACTCTTTACTCCATATTAGAAGGGAATTCCGGACAATTTTCATACACGGCAACGACCTGCTCCGAGCAGGAGCTACAAATATCCTCCTTCACAAAATGCACGATTCCGTCCGCCCATCAATCTGTCTCCTCGCCGTCGTCTCCTAGGAACGCAAGATACTGACGGCCTCGGTTTAAACGTCGACCAGGGCGACCGCTGCTACCCTCTTCGTCGGCATTGCCCGTACCGTATAGCTTAACTTCCTCTTGACAGGAAACCACGTCAGCTTGAAGCTCGCGCCTTTCTCTAATCTTCATGGCTCTCTTTTCTGCTTCCCGCCCCTTAAATGGTCGTGTCATTCCTGCATCTTGGAGCATGTTCTCAAGGTGTCCGATCTTCGCCGTCGGTGTATCATAGGGAGCCAGCTCTCGCCACCACTGTTTTCGGATCCCACATTTTACCAGCAAGTCTTGTAACTCTTTCACCTTCTTTTGGTTAGGGTCAAGGTCCGCCTCCTTCACCTTAGATGTGGTCGTCTTCTTTTTCGGCTTTTGCGCGGCACCCTCAGTACTGGCGCTTTTTTGTCGCTTTCGAATAGGCTTAGGCTCTTCGTCAAGAACCACTGACATCTCGCTTTCTGAGTCATCTTTGCCATCGTCCTTTAATTCTTCGGCGGCCTTCGGTGGTGTAACATCTTCTCTTTCGTCTGCTACAGCATCTAAGTCATCCGACACCTGTTCTTTTGAGCGCTTTGCTTTCGGGCTCTTCTCTTGCAGTGATTTCGATTGCTTTTTAGCGGGCTTTTTCGCTTCCTCCTCACTTGCATCGTCTAGCGATGCGCTGCTTTCACTCTGGTCGTCAGGTTCGGGTGTGCTCGCTTTCCGTCGCTTTCGCGATGTCGCAACTTTGATAGGCTTTGTCCTCTTAGCAGAAGAGGCCTTCACGAGAGGAGTAGGCTCCTCTTTCTCTTCTTCATCTGATTCCGGTTCTTGCGCACGCTTGTCTTGTACCTCCTGTGTGCACGTAACCATTAGTCCTATAAATAACCCCATTATCCGGCCGCAACCAATTCGATAAGAGTCAATTTTGAACATACCACTTCATCCTTGATGATCTGATCACTCTTTGACTTCCAATCCCTACTCGCCTTGAAAAAGCCCTCCTCGACCCCAAGCTCTTTCTCGGCTGCAAGGCGCACCCGCTTGACTGTCAGTTCCTCCATAGCCCCCGATTTGTAAACCTTTGCGACAGCATCGCGTAGCGCCTTTTCGAGTGCATTGTCTGACGTGACCGAGGGAGCTGTTGATAACTCGGACTCGGACTCGGAATTGGACTCGGATGCTACGCGGCGTCGAGGCGCCATTTCGCCTAGTTCACTCGGTTATCTTGTTTCTAACCTTTCGGAGGTTGGTTTCGTCACACAGTGGATCGAATTCGTGGATTCGGCGTTGGACGCGGTGGGTTCGCGACGTGACGCTAATTAAGAACTATCACGATGGAGGTATAGCTCAATCGTCGAATTAAGAATAGGAATGTGAAAGCAAATCAACATGAGTAAATAATGCTCTGACTCAGAAATAGAAGTACACTGTGATCCAAAAAAAGGTGACGTCGTATGAAGGTTCCAGGTACCGTTCACATATCTAAACTCTCCGATGGAAAGCAAGGGAAAATAAATGGCTGACAAAGCCACTTATCCACCGGATTGAATTTAAGCTTACTTGAAGAATCTCGAACAACCAGAAGGATTCGAATAGAGAAGGAAATGACATTAAGCCCCTAACTCACCTTATAGGACATACGTCTCCCGGTCACTGTATCGATCTTCCAAGAACTGCACGCTCTATCCTCCAAACCGCGCACCCTCATCCATTGAATCACAACCCTCCGCAGTATACCGAGCGCCTTGAAACAGCCAGCACAGGGCCATCAATCAAGAATTGCAACGCTCTCTCCCAAGAGCAGCGATCAAACTTCACAATGTCAACACACGAGGCCCAAGCCAGCCCGGCGAAAAACCTCTTCCCCCACCAACCCCCCGCAACAGGCTCTTCAGAGGAACTAAAAGATGGAATGACGAAACTGCCCAACGGCGTCATCCTCGACAAAGATGGGAAACCGTACGTCTACTCACTACTGAATAAAACAAGGCGGAACACATATTAACAATGTCCCTTCTAGATGCCGCCTCTGCACCTCCGCCGCATCCTGGCGCAACCTAACCAAACAAGCCAAAGCCCAAGGCTCGACCTCTACCACACCCACCACTACCTCAAAACCCACCTCCGACTCAACTACTACATCGATACCTCTACCCCAGTCGCGAGATGATTGTCCGCCGGATGTCGAGGCTCTGGGCCGCTCAACATGGACCTTCCTTCATTCGTTGTCGGCCTCGTACCCGGTGAAAGCGTCGCAGGAGCAGCAGAGTGAGATGCGGACGTTCCTGAAGATCTTCTCGCGCTTATATCCCTGCTGGGTGTGTGCGGATGATTTCCGGAACTGGATGGCGGAGCCGAGTGGGCGGAATGAGCCGCGGTTAAGTGGGAGGGCCGATTTCGGGACGTGGATGTGTGAGGCACATAATGAGGTGAATCGGAAGCTGGGGAAGAAGGAGTTTGATTGCCGGTTTTGGGAGGAGAGGTGGAGGACTGGGTGGAAGAATGGGAGGTGTGATTGAGATTGAATGATTGACGGTTATTAGAGCTCTTAGAGTATAAATGGATGGTTTGGGATTTGTATAATAGCTTTCGGGCATGATCTCTCTACTCAGGTGTGCAGCGGGGATATGTGAGGCTCTCTGCTCTATATGTGTATGTACACATGAATCATGGTTTTTCATGAACGTCTTAAAGTTGCATTGCGAAAGTAGAAGGTAAGGTAATATAAAACAACGTCGCTGAGAAAATTAGGGTAAAACCAAATCCATATATCTAGTGAGCAGCGTCCCTCCAGCCATGGGCGCCACCCTATTCACTAAACTTCCTCCCACGTAAAGAATATTCGCTTCATATGTTTCACATTGGAGACAGAATTACATGAATGAGAACCTCCCGACTTCGTCTTTAATATTGGCCGGGGACGTACAACCGTAATCCACTGGCTGGCGCACCGATCTCGGTCACATCAGATATCCGGCACACTGTACCCTTGTACTGTTCATGATATTTGGCTCCGGTGAAAGGATCTGAGACACTTGGAGAGCCCCCATAGATGGGAGTATGGGAAGCAGCACAGATATCGAATTCGGCGAACTGATCGAATTCGACGTCAATCTTGTCCTGGGGGCTGCGCTCGCATTGAGCTTTAATCTTCCTTGCCTGTGTGCTGGTTAGCATCTCGCTATCTAGGAAAAAAGAAATAATATATAGGCATATAGCTTACCTGATCAAGCAGCTTAGGGGAGCCACCGTTTGCCAACATCCGGTTGGCAAAGCTGAGGGCTGAGGAGTAGTTCTTGTTGGCAAAAGCGAGCTTCATCGCTGCCATCAGAGCAAGCTGGCGATGGGCAACCTCTAGCTTGGGGATAGTGAAATAAGCAGAAAGCTCTAGGCTTCTCTTGAGGTCTTCTGGTGTGTCTGTGGGGATGGAACGACGCTCCAATTCAATAGACATGGCAAGAATGTATTCCCGAGCAGTTTCGATGATCTTCTTGGCTTGTTCAAACTCGGCCTCTGACGACACTGTATTCAGGAGGAGAGAGTGCAGTATACCCTTGAAAATTCGCACGCCGTCCTCAAGCTTGTTGGACCTCATCGCAGCGTAGCCCTCTTGAAGGTCTACATTGGCGATGGTCTCCAGGTCCCTGGCAATAACGGGGAGGACCTTGCGCGAGTCGGTCTCCTCAACAGTCCGGCGAACGTAGTTGACCAGGGGCGGCAGGCCGGCGGTGGCCGGGAGATAAGTCTTGGATGCCTTGTATACTTCCAAGAAACGTGGCTTGAGAGGCGCGAAGTTTACGGCACCAACCTGGCGATTGAGGAGTTGCATGGCAGTATCAAATGAACCAGCAGCAACGTGGTCAGCGGCCAGAGGGGAGTTGCGAGCCCAAAGGTCGGCTTCGGGGCTGCCCGCACCAGCCTCAGCGCTGTCCACATTGACGAAGTCAACATCTTCCTCGACATTAATCTCATCTCCCATGTCCCATCCAGCGACGTCCTCGTCCTCATCCTCAAGAGTTTCGCCGGCAGCCTCAGCCTCTTCCTCTTCCCCTTCGGCCTCAAAGTCAATAGCAGCTGCTTCATCATCTGCACCAACTTCACCAAGGAGCGCTTTCTCGAAAGACGAATGGGCAGCGGCCTTGACGGGCCAATTTGACTTGAAGGAGGGCACAATAGGTTGTGGCACCTGTAGAGGCTCATCGACAGAGGGCAGGGTTATCTGGTCTTCTGTAAGGCCGCAAGCCTCAAGGATCGACTCAGCCTCTTCAGTCAAACCATGAGTCTTTGCCGTCAGGTATGCCAAAGGATCTACGTGCAGTTAGCAAGGTATTACAATGAAGGTACTTGAGCTTTAACTTACAAAGATCCACTTCCTTGAACATCTGGATCCTGTCCTCGACATCCCCACGGTAGATGGCGTTTTGAAACCGTGAAGTGAAATCGCCTCGATGCTCTGCAATCTTGGCCATTCTTCCGAGCTTTTCCTGATCGCCAGTAGAGAGGTACAGGAAAGACAGCTTGTCAAAGTTCCTCTGCTTCTGGTAGGCCATCTCTACTACCTGGTGATTGCCATGGGCCAAAGCTTCCGTGCCCAGTCTGCTCCACAGATTAGGGCGGTCCAATTCTCTGGCCATCTCGACGGCAACATCAAGGTTACCGCACTCCAGGGCGAGCTCGAAACGTGTTTGGGGGTCCTGGACAAATTGCAGCGCAATCTCGGGGTAGCCCTTCTTCTGCAGGTAGGAGATGATGCTTTGGCCGACCAGGCTAGAGGTCTTGATAATTTGAAGCATCTCATCATAGTTTCTCTTGACCAGAGCCAGCTTAAACCGGTATTCAGTAGGGTCAATCTCTAGGACTCTGGGCTTGGCATTACGGTCCAGGCAGTACACATTTCGGCCCTTGACCTTGACGAGATAAACTGTTTGATCCAGAGTGCGAATAATGCCATTGTCACTGTTACATTTGTCAACATGTGTGCTTCATCGCAGTGAGGACCAAACTTACCCATTCAGGAGAGAGTACTTCACGTGGTTCAAGGTCGAGTAGAGAAGGACGCCAGCGTCATCCCAGGCGGCGCTCTTAATACGAATCGTCTCGTGTAAGCTACTTACTTGCTCAAGGGTTTTGGTGACAATCGTGACATTATGTTTGCTGAGCAAAGCTGCATAAAGACCATCATTCGACCAGACAACGTATTTGACGCCACTGACAGCCAATTCTGCCAATTCCTTCTTTTGCTGGATATCGAAAAGAACAACGTTGGTAGGAGTAATAAAGAGTAGACAGCCGGTACCACCAAAGTAGATATCGGTTGTACCCACGGGAGGCTTGATCGTCTTGGTGGTGGAGTTGCTCAAGTCTTTGATGTCGACTTGTTGGTTGGCTTGGCTGAAGACCGCAAATCGATTGCGTGCGACAAAGACAGCAGAGGAAGCCTGGCCACGTTTTACATCGGTCGGCTCCACAGCACCGGTAGCATCCCTTGGGAGATGAATCAACTCATACACGCCACCATCCGTTGGCGAAGTAACCAGGATGGCACGCTCCGCGGGGTTGTACGAAACTGTCCGAGGAGGCACCCAGGGGGAACCCAGCTTGCGCAACGACAGCATAGGTGGAGATTCCACATTCTTGGCGAACTCATAAGACTTGACATGCTTCTCCTTGGTAATGTAGAACAGTTGATTCTGGTAGACAGCAGAGGCGGGCCTTTCGCGCTCCAACTTGAAAACCATAACACCGGTATCGTGGCCCGCGGCAAAGAGGTTGATTTCGGGATGGGCAGCGATAACCCAAAAACGATCCACATCACGCTTGAATGATTGTACCGAAGTTCTCTTGTTCAGGTCCCATGCTCTGATTGTCTTATCTTCACCGACAGAAAGGATGAGGTCCTGGTGAGGGTGGAACAAGGCGGCGGAGGCATTCTGGAAATGACCGCGACATGTATCGACTTCCCAGGCCTTGGTGTCTGTTGCGAGAAGTTAGCGACCTTAATCATGCATACAAAGACACCCAATTGTCACATACCACTCATCCTCCACAACTTGATCAGACGGTCGTCACCCGCGGAAACGATCAGAGGCAAAGTGGAGTGGAAAGACACCCAGTTGACACCTCGGTCGTGGCCCTCCAACACAAATTTCACCACCGCATCCGTATTTCCAAACATATCCGCCTGACTGGGATTGGCTCGAGCCATCTGGTCTTCGAAGGACATGGCAGTCGGCGCCGAATGCTTTTTCCGCAGGCCCGAGATGTCCCAGATGCGAACGGACTGGTCTAGGGAGGCGGAGGCAATCAAATCTTCGGTTGGGTGGAATTGCGCGCACATCACATAATGGTTATGGCCCGTCATCGTGCAGACTGAGTATTGGATATCAGCTTCGTTCCGGATAGGTAGCCGGATCCAAACTTACCCAGTGATCTGTTCTGCCAGTTCCATATCCGAATTGTCTGGTCGTCCGATGCGGAAAGGATCCAAGGGAGTTCAGGGTGGAAGAACACAGTCCGCACATAGTCAAGATGGCCATTGAGCGTGAACAGGCATCTCCGGGTTTGATAATTCCAAACTTTGATCTTGTAGTCATCACCTCCGGACACGAAGAGGGGCTGTGTAGGGTGGAAGTCAACGCCTCGGACGGGACCATCATGCTCTTCAAAACGGTCAATGAGCGTTCCCATGCGATAATCCCATAGTTGGATGGTCGACGAGTGAAGTGATACTAAGATCCACGGCCTGGTTCAGTCAAGGTCAGCGATGTCTGATTGCGACGCGTGGGACAGTCGATCGTCAACTGACCGCTTAGGATGGAAAGCGATTCCCTTCGCTCTGGATGATTTCGATTCAAACTATGCGGGTCACGATGTTTAGCAGTTGCCCTTTGAACTCGAAAGGCAAGATTGTCGCCGAGGGGGCATTGGAGGGGAGGACATACCTTAGTGAGCATGTTGGGGGAGGACTGCATCTTGAATGAGAGTTGGCCGGAGCCGCACCATAGAGAAGCAAGCTCCGCACGCTGAATTCAAAGAGATCACAAAAGCGACCACCTCATCCACTGCTACAAAGGGCAGAATGGTAGAGGATCACGCAGGTATGGGGTCGGGAAGCGTCTGGACTCGGGGACAGTCTGGACAACTAACCTAAGATGAGGCGGTAAACGTGGACTTATTGTGTCTCCCGGTGGAAGAGCCAATAAGCGAATCCCGTTGGGCCAATGATGGGCCCCGGCGGTGAGAAGCTGCCAGGGGAACATCAATTCCTCCTCCTATGTTAACTTCTCATCAATACTTAGTACACCTCATCTAACTTACTCCAACAATGGGAACTCTTGATTCGTATTCCTTTGGTCGGTTGACATGGATTAGATCTTCACCCTGAGCTTTCGAAACCCAACTCGGTCGGATCTTTAGTCAAAAGATGCTGCCTCCCGTCCCTCTATGCCCCAGGCACCCTCTCTTTCAGCCAAAGGAATACCGTTGGCGCCTTGCGCTCGTGAGCGTCTCTCCACTAACACACATCATAGACAGAACCGCAGGGACAGCAGCACCCTCCTTTCCAATTAGTCGTTTCTGCAGAATATTCTCGAACTAATCGCATACAATTCCTCAATAGCGCGCATTCCAATCTATGTACTATACCTTTCTCCTTTTCTTTGCTATGAATACTACATGCGATACTTCCAATTTTAGACCTTGATTATCCTGGACCCGGCCTAGCGCAATATGGATGGGATATCTGGAAACTACAACGCTGCGCCTAGTTCATTTCAAGCCTTCACAATGTCAAATAATAACCAAGAATGTACATCATCTCAACGTCAAGGAACACACAATACGCCATCAGAGAGGGAATTATCTCCCGAGGATCCTTTAACCCAGGACTCCAACAATAACGCTCCTATTGTCGTACAGCCATATTCTATCGAGGAGCCGGAGGATGATGATTCCTCTCCTCTATCTTCAAAGCCTACCACAGCGTTTACTCCGGGGCCCAGTTCTGAGAATTGGCAAGCCGAACTGGCAAATTCAATGGAAGACCTACGTTGTGATTCCGACCATAACTCTACCAGCCCCAACACAAGATATAACCGAGGCAAGAAAAGAAAGCCGCCCAGTATTGTTACTGCACATCCCCGGTTATTCCACAAACAGGACCCCAGGATGACACACGATCACCAGTACGAAGAAAGACCCAACTCCAAATTGAGAAAGCTACGAAGAAGAAATAAATATCCACAGGAAGCCTTGGGAATGTCGGACGTCGGACTCAGTGAGTTCGAGACGCCCGGGAGCTGCGATTCGAGGTCTTCATCGACTGAAAGTAATGATACCAATTCCAGCGAAGGTACCAATGCACCGGACCACATGGATCTAGATTGAAAACCAGGCGTTGATATGATGTGATGGCCTTTTCGTTGACATCACTACTTCCCATTGCATGTCACGTGCTTACCAGATTGTCTCGCTAGTCCGGAAATGGCTCTCAGCATACATGACGTCAGACGGTTCTCATCGCTGGGGGAAGCACCGGAATTGACTTCTCCTGGCCCTGTAGCTTGTTCTTCTGTAATGATCTCGATTCCCTGACCTTTTCCTCCTTCAATTGGACCCTCCAGGTTTGACTTGAACCCTTACCTCATTCGCAATGGCCACAACTCGAACTTCGACGCGCCAGGCTGCTCAGAAAGCAAAGGAAGCCATATCGGCCGGTCCGGATAGTAAGCATAAGGGAGGCGCCGGCGCAAAGCGTAAGGAAGCTACGCATAAAGGTCCGGAGCCAAAGCGGAGCAAGAAGGATGAGCAAAAATCCACACAAGAAGAAGACCAGCAAGTGGAGGAACGGAAGGAGGATGTAGAAATGCAAGTAGGGGAAAAGAAGGAGGACGCAGATGCGCAAGTAGAAGAAAAGGAAGAAAAGATTGAGCAACCAGTCGATAAGGAGAATGGGAAGCGGGATGAACGGCAAGCAGATGACAAGAAGGAGCAGAATGAGGAGCAGACAGAGAGGCCAGAAACCGAACAGAAAGTTGAACGAGAAGAAGAGAACAAGGACGAGCAAGAGAAGGAGAAGGAAAAAGACAAGCCACAGGAGCCCAAATCTGAACAGGAAAAACCTGCCGACGGTAATTAGCGATGTATAGGCTTCTTGCTGCATTATGCTAACGATGCGCAGAACAAGAGGGAAAGCGCGCTGCAGATGAGGTTGAGTCTGGGGTTCAAAAGTCCCAGGAAAGAGAGGAAGCCGTTCCTTCGAATATCCTCGAGAAAGGCGTCATTTATTTCTTCTATCGACCCCGAGTTAACGTCTCAGAGCCACACAGTGTAGGCGATGTTGCCCGTAGCTTCATCGTACTGCGCCCAACCCCTTTAGGAGCAACTTTAGGCCAAGCGCAGGGGTCATTAGAGGCTGGCGCGAAATGTCGGCTTATGCTATTGCCCAAAAAGAAGTTTCCGACCAGTGGGAGAGAGAGAGATATGGCTTTCGTTGAGAAGGTCGGGCAGACCATGAAAGAGCTACAGGAGAACTTCATCGCTGGTGAGGAGTATCAAACATCAACCCGTGGCGAACGCAGCGTGCCGGAAGCCAAGCCGTATGCAGAAGGCGTCTACGCGATTACCTCAACTAAACGGGCGTCGCACTTGGCGTACATCTTGACTGTCCCCGCGGAAGTTGGCCCTCTCCAGGAAGACTTTGGTCTCCACGCACGTGGTAGCTGGATTGTGCAGTCCAAGAACCCCAAGTATCCTGGCCCTTCCTTTGCACAACTTCCCAAGGACCCTGAATATCCTGAAAGGTATGTCATTCCTCATCAATCCTGTGCCCTAACGCTGGGCTCACGGCTGATTTTGTGAGGGCAGTGTCCGTGACAAGTTTCAAGATTATCGCTGGGTGCCATTGACGCCCGAGTTCATAGACTATCCCAATGCACAGTTCCTTATGATTGGTGAAGCTACAGGTGACCTTGGGAAGGCTGCTACGGCCGAACCTAACGGCAAGCGCGCTGAAGAGGAGCAACCCGGAGAGGAGCTAGAGAAGCTGGAGGACGAGAATGAGGAGAGAGTGGAGTCACTGAAAGGTAAGGATCACCTTAAGCTGTTGAGTTCGACTTGGCACTAATAGCCGATCAGGAGATGATGCTGTCTACAAGGATCTGGGACTGCACGCGAGCAACTATCCCAAAGTGCCAACAACTTGGGATAGTTAAGTAGAACTAGGCTGAATGTGAGAGAAAGGGAAAAACAAGAAAGTTAAGTATGATGGATAAGCTTGACTGCCATATCTAGGAATAATATCTTATTTAAAAAGAAAAATGATGTGATTTGCCCTGAAATGCTGTCTAGACTGTCTTACTACTTACTAGTAGTAAGTACAAGTACCTAGTAAGTATCGGTACGAGGTAGTACTAATCGTAATTAAAAGGACAAGAGCGAATCGTATCAGCAGTTCCCACCACGCTCATCTTGGCCTTTTCTCGGTCGATTAAATATACTGCTTGAAGTGAGAAAAAGCAAAGCAAGGGCCAGATGTGTAACCCTACTTTTTCCTTACCGTCATACATTCCCGATTTTTACTTATATATAGGCCCCCACTCCTTGAGGTACAGTACGCAAGATCTACTACCTTTACCTACTTCCCGTATTGATTGTGCATAACTCCTCTATACCCTCTCACTTCTCAATTATACAGTCTCCTCCTTGTTCCCCAATGAGACTGACCCTGTTAGTGACCGCACTGCCCTGGACGGCAGCTGCAGTAGCCCTCCCTTCCACCGGCCCCAAGTTAAACATCATCAACCAGACCACCTGCGGAGGCACAACCTACGCATACACCGGTTTAGAAGGGTACGGGTATATCCCGTCCAACGCAACCGACAAATATGGCGACACATTGGGCGGGTTCGGCAGCGCCATAGCCATTGAACAAGATTCCTGGCGCCGAACAGGACGAGACTCGTACTCGGGTACTATCTATGTCCTCCCTGACCGAGGCTGGTACGAGAAAGCCCCATATATATATATCTATTATATATATATCGAAAGTTGTGTTTTTTCCGCTATTCTTCCTGTTGTTCTGTTTTCTCATTGGTTGGTTATCTCACCGCTTGCGGTTATTCTGC